AAATTGTTGATGATAATCCAAGGCATTGGCATGAGCTATTGTTTGACAGACATTGGGTTTACAAAACATTACAAAGAAATATTATCTAGATAATTTCATTTTCTTCAACTTTTGGACAAGAAGCTGTTATAGAGATGGGGTTGTTCCTTAAATCATTGCGTACAATAGTAAAATTTATTTAAAACGAAAAGCATGTTTGTTATGAATTTAGAAGAATGGCATTTATTAATTATTTTTTGGTCGGAAAGGCATTTTATTCATGTGAAATTACAATAACACGGGAACATAAAATTACAACAACAAAAGAAATGTTGAGTTTCCATTTTTCACTTACGCTCCTATGATAGAACATGCCTCCTTGATTGCCACTGGAATTTCAGGCACTTCAAAAAGGAAAGGCCAACAATTGTCAGCAAGGCCATTTAAAGCAACGCAACAATCTTTTCCCAAACTTGCTGCATTCTTACCATTCTTAGTTACATCCTTTATATCTTTTAGGTAAAATGGGGCTGACACTGCAAACTTTAGGCACTTAAAAATGCTGTCATCGTTCATCTTAGGTGATGTCTTTCTCATTTCTTGGGCAAGTCCCAATTGAAGAATAAGTGCTACAATGCATGCCACAAGCAGGCAAAAACCAAGTGCCTTTGAGGATGCAAATTCCATGATAAATTGTTCTTGTGTTATGAAATGTTGATTGTTAGGATGAAAGTTTGATGGGATTTTATAGTGTTTTTCAAGGAAGTATTTTGTGTGTGTAAAGATTTTTGGTTTAATGGCAACACAAATCCTTATACATATAAAAAAGTGGCAACAAAAATCCAAAATTGATTTCCATGGCAACAAAATTCCTTTGCCATATGAAAAATAGGCATCCAACCTTAATCCATCCAATTTTGTCCAAGTCAGTTATAGCAAAAGATAACTTTATTGTTTTTCAACTTTTGACACCAAAAATTAAGTTGAAAAACAATGAATGGGCCAACCTTTTACCTTTTACTTAATAAAAAAAATTAAATTTTAATTATAAAAATTTATCAAACTTCGAAAAATTTCTTGAGAGGGTGATAATGCATAGAACAAAATCAATTGTGTTATTATGTGTAATTTGCGAGGATCAAGGGAGAAATCACAACAATATTTTATGGGGAATCAGGATTTGCAACCTCAAGAAATCAAACTAGCGAAACGATGATACAAGAGGGAAACTTGAATTGAAATAACAACAAAATTCTTTATAGAATCTTATGATCGTTTTTCTATATTTTGAGCGTAGAGAGTACACTATTGAGGGTTCAAACACGGTTTAGTATATGAAAGAGACTATTTTGGTCCTTTCCCATCGTGTTTTATTAAAATGTTGTAATTTTGGGATTCTTTTCCTATTATTTTTTTAGATATCTAATTAATAAGTACAAATCACACACACAAATATAAAAGTATGTATATATGTATGTACACATGGGAAAAGGGAAAATCAGGGTGTCTTGGCATTAAATATGCGCAAGGGTGTCTAATAATAGCTGCATCATGAATTCGATAAAATTAGGATCCACATTATACTCAACACATTTAATGGTTGTGGTTGAACATCCTGACATTTTTAATTCTAGACATCTTGATTTTCCCTTTTCTCATGTACACACATTTATTTAACAATATTAAATCTTCTATTATCGATAAAATGGTTATTTATTTTCGATTAATGTTAAAATTGAAGTATATGGCCTACATGAACATAAAATTCAATTCAATGGCAATTTTTAAAAATATTAAGTGAAATATGAGGTCCTTTATTATGTCCTTTTGGATGTCATCCTATAAAACATTTTTTCATAATATATATATATTTTTGAATGCTATTTTAATTCTTAAACATAACAATTAACATCTCAAAACGTTTCAAACTTGTACTTAAACACTAAGATTTCATGGTTTCAATTTTATTGTTTCAATTGGTCTTATAACCGTTATTAGTTTGCTATAATAAACAAGCTAAAACTCAAGACCTTTTCAATCAAAACCACAAATCTCAAACCCATTTTTTAATTAGGGAAACAATGAAGAGACTAGATTAAGGGTGACCTCTAGGTTAATAGATAAAGCTGATAGTTTATCAAAGAAGGATACTATTCATTTTTTTTAAGTTGTCTGTGAATTTGTCATGCTTGACACTTAACTTTTTATCAACCTTCTAGTTCAAGTAATCAATAGGTTCTAATAGTTATCAATAGACGAGCTAGATTGAGAAGGACAAAGTCATTGAGATTCCAACCAAGGAGGATGGAGATGAAATTTCAGCTAATAAAATTCCTTTTTAGAAACCAAAGGAGAAGATGACCAAATATATAATGCCATTGTACATTCATGCACACATTAACAACATGCTAATAAATCGAAAGTGGACAATAGTGTTGTTGTCAATGTGATGCCAACTTGTGTGGTACACTTGTTCGTATATCTTTCTATGATTTAATAGAAACTGATATGACAATTAGTGATTTTTGTGGTGGGGTAAATCACTCAAGAGTTATGCTAAAACAGTGGTCGAGCCAAAGCTGATAACAAAAATATGATTAATTTTCTTGGGAAAATTGTTGATGATAATCCAAGGCATTGGCATGGGTTATTGTCTGACAGACACTGGGTTTACAAAACATTGCAAAGAAATATTATCTAGATAATTCCAATTTCTTCAACTTTTGGACTTGAAGCTGTTATAGAGATGGGGTTGTTCCTTAAATCATTACGTACAACAGTAAAATCAATTTAAACCAAAAAGCATGTTTGTTATGAATTTAGAAGAATGGCATTTATGAATTATTTTTTTGGTCGAAAAGGCATTTTATTCATGTGAAATTACAATAACATGGGAACATAAAATTACAACAACAAAAGAAAATGTTGAGTTTGCATTTTTCACTTACGCTCCTATGATAGAACATGCCACCTTGATTGCTATTGGAATTTCAGGCACTTCAAAAAGGAAAGGTTAACAATTGTCAGCAAGGCCATTTAAAGCAGTGCAACAATCTTTTCCCAAACTTGCTGCATTCTTACCATTCTTAATTACATCCTTTATATCTTTTAGGCAAAATGGGGCTGACACTGCAAACTTTAGACACTTAAAAATACTGTCATCATTCATCTTAGGTGAAGTTTTTCTCATTTCTTGGGCAAGTCCCAATTGAAGAATAGATGCTACAATGCATGTCACAAGGAGGCAGAAACCAAGTGCCTTTGAGGATGCAGATTCCATGTTAAATTGTTTTTGTGTTATGAAATGTTGATTGTTAGAATGAAAGTTTGATGGGATTTTATAGTGTTTTTCAAGGAAGTATTTTTTTTGTGTAAAGATTTTTTGTTTAATGGCAACAAAAATCCTTATACATATTAAAAAGTGGCAACAAAAATCCAAAATTGATTTCCATGGCAACAAAATTCCTCTGCCATATTAAAAATAGGCAACCAACCTTAATCCATCCAATTTTGTCCAAGTCAATTATAGCAACAAGATAACTTTATTTGTTTTTCATATTTTGACACAGAAAATTAAGTTGAAAAACAATGAGTGGGCCAACCTTTTACCTTTTACTTAATAAAAACAATTAAATTTTAATTATAAAAATTTATCAAACTTCAAAAAATTTCTTGAGAGTGCGATAATGCATAGAACAAAATCAATTGTGTTATTTTGTGTAATTTGTGGGGTATAGTGGATTAATCATGATAATATTTTATGGGGAATCAGAATTTGCAACCTCAAGAAATCAAACTAGTGAAATGATGATACGAGAGGGAAACTTGAATTGAAATAATAGCAAAATCCTTTATAGAATCTTATGACCATTTTTCTATATTTTGTGTGTAGAAAGTACACTATTAAGGGTTCAAACATGGTTTAGGATGTGAAAGAGACTATTTTGGTCCTTTCCCATTGTGTTTCATTACAATGTTGTAATTTTGGGATCTTTTTCCTATTATTTTTTTAGATATCCAATTAATAAGTACAAATCACACACACAAATATAAAAGTATATATATATGTACACATGGGAAAAGGGAAAATCAGGGTGTCTTGGCATTAAATATGCGCAAGGGTGTCTAATAATAGCTGCATCATGAATTCGATAAAATTAGGACCCACATTGTACTTAACACATTTAATGGTTGTGGTTGAACATCTTGACATTTTTAATGCAGGACGTCTTGATTTTCCCTTTTCTCATGTACACACATTTATTTAATAATATTAAATCTTCTATTATCGATAAAATGGTTATTTATTTTTGATTAACGTTAAAATTGAAGGTTATGACCTACATGAACATAAAATTTAATTCAATGGCAATTCTTAAAAATATTAAGTAAAACACAAGGTCTTTTATTATGTCCTTTTTGATGACATCCTATAAAACATTTTTCCATAATATATATATATATTTTTTGAATGCTATTTTAATTCTTAAACATAACAATTAACATCTCAAAATGTTTCAAACTTGTACTTAAACACTAGGATTTCATGGTTTCAATTTTATTGTTTCAATTGGTCCTATAACCCTTATTAGTTTGCTATAATAAAGAAGCTAAAACCCAAGACCTTTTAAATCGAAACCACAAATCTCAAACCCATTATCTAAGTAAGGAAACCAATGAAGAGACTAGATTAAGGGTGACCTCTAGGTTAATAGATAAAGCTGATAGTTCATCAAAGAAGGATACTATTCATTTTTTTTAAGTTGTCTGTGAATTTGTCATGCTTGACACTTAACTTTTTATCGATCTTCTAGTTCAAGTAATCAATAGGTTCTAATATCTATCGATAGAGGAGCTAGACTGAGGATGACAAAGTCATTGAGATTCCAACCAAGGAGGATGGAGATGAAATTTTAGCTAATGAAATTACTTTTTTGAAATCGAAGGAGAAAATGGCCAAATATATAATGGCATTGTACATTCATGCACACATTAACAACATGCTAATAAATCGAATTTTAGTGGGCAATAGTACTACTATCAATGTGATGCCATCTTGCATGGTATACTTGTTGGTATATCTTTCTATGATTTAATAGAAACTAATATTACAATTAGTGATTTCTGTGGTGGGGTAAATCACTCAAGAGTTATGCTAATATAGTGGTCAAGCCAAAGCTTATAATAAAATTATGATTAATTTGCTTGGGAAAATTGTTGATGATAATCCAAGGCATTGGCATGAGTTATTGTTTGATAGACACTGGGTTTATGAAACATTACAAAGAAATATTATCTAGATAATTCCATTTTCTTCAACTTTTAGACATGAAGCTGTTATAGGGATAGAGTTGTTCCTTTAATCGTTGCATACAACAGTAAAATCTATTTAAAACAAAAAGCATGTTTGTTATGAATTTAGAAGAATGTCATTTATTAATTATTTTTTGGTCAGAAAGGCATTTTATTCATGGGAAATTGCAATAACATGAGAACATGAAATTACAACAACAAAAGAAAGTGTTGAGTTTCCATTTTTCACTTATGCTTCTATTATAACACACCTCCCTAAGCACTTCTTGTCCTAGGAGAGTTCAAAAATAAGATTTATAATAAAGAAATGCAGCGAAAATAAAAACACTTTTGAAAAAAAGAAGATCATAAATACTTGTAAAGGAAAACCACTTTAGCAAGTCAATATATATATATTGAAA